TTCAGCTCAGGTCATGATCTCAGGGTCCTGGGATCGAGCCCCACATTGGGCTCTCTGCTCAGCGGGGAGCCTACTTCTCCCTCTCCCGCTCCCCCCGCTTGTGCGCGCTGTCAAATAAAATTAAAAAAAAAAAAAAAAAGTCAAGGTGCACAAGCACCGAGAGAGACAGAGGCACTAAAGAGACAGGAAAACTGAATCCGTGAGTGTGGACACGATAAAAGACACCACTGGGACAGCTGATGCAACCAGAACATGGACTGCAGATCTGATGAGAGTAGTACATTCAGAGGCTGGGTCTCTAAGATGATCTTCCTGTTCTTAGGAAACACATGCTCAAGTATTTATGAAGAAAGGGGAACAAAGTCTCCAACTTACTTTCAGATTTTTCCCCAAAAACCTGACAGAATAATAAACGAGGCAAAATAAAAATGGTAAATTTGGAGAAAGTGTACATGGGAGTTCCTTAGTCCTTATACTGCTTTTGCACCTTTCTCTTAAGTTTGAAATTACTGGGAAATGTTAGAAAATATGCTTTGCAGAGTCTGGCACACATGGTTCTAGGAGTTTGGGCTCAACAGGAGGGAACACTGGAGAAGCCTAGATCAGTCCGTCCCATCTGCACAACCCACCACTATGCCAAAGGTCTGGGGCTGAGAGCCCAGAGACTCACCCAAGAAGGTCAGTCGATCACTGAGCATCATGGCTGGCCCTAGGTTGTCAATGAGATCCAGATCAGAAAAGGAGCCTCGCTCACAGTAATCCTTGAGGAACCTGCAAGGCCAGGCCCAGAGGTCTGAGCAGCGGTCCCAGGACTCCTTCCTCAGCCTCCCAACTTCCTAGCCAGTCCCCAGAAAGCCAGGAGCAGTTGAACCCACCTGTCTGACACCAGCGTGGCAAAGGCAGCATCTTTGGCTCGGATGCTCCAAGACAGCGCAGAGCCCAGGCGATTGTTGCGGACAGCTTTCATGGCTAAGATCTTACAAATGCTGCGAACTTGGCAGGGAAAAAGAGAAAAGGCGAACTTTTCCCTCTTCCAATCAGGCCATTTCTGAACTCTGCCAGAGAGGAGCAGGCTTCCCACCTCCTCTGAGCTTTCTGCAGCCTCTCCACAGGCTCCAAATACAACTTGGTTGGCAACACCGGGGACTTTGGGGTTTACAGATTGTCTCCTGGCTCTATTATACCAGGACCCACCCTGACAGGATTGGCTTTGTGACTGGGTTTGATTTCAGGGACGGCAAAAAGATTTTATTGCTCCCCACAGATCGGCTTCTTCATTATCTGTCCAGGTGCCAAAAAACATCCTTTGGGTCTTGAATTGCCCTATGCCTTCAGAGATGGTCATAAGCAAGCAACTGACTCTGGAAAGAACAACTTAGGTTTTTATCACTCAACAGTGAAGGGAGAAAGGGCAAATATCACTGCTTTCTTTCTGTGCTCTTCCTGAGCTGCCTCTGGTCCTGCTTCCCCACTGAGCCAGCCTTAGCTAGCAACAGCAACCCACCTGGGAGAAGTAAATTCCAAGCTGACCCCAGTCCTGACCTTCCTAGAGTAAGTAGAAGAGAGAACGTGGGTCAGGATCTTTTTAAGAGGCAGTGCGCTCCCTAGCTGTTTGTCCTTCCTCAATAATTTTCCTGTTTTGGCTTATCTCTTGGGACCCACTGCCCGGCCTCTCTCCAGTCTGGCTGACGCAGCATGAGCAGGAAGTATGCCAGGGGGAGGGCGGGCTCACCTTGCTCAGTCATCTGCCGCTGCTCACAAATCCGCAGCACTTTAAGGGCTTTCTGCTCAGTGCTCAGGGGGATCCGCTCAATGTGCAGCTCCAAGGAAACTCGGCCCAGCTCAGGGCAGTAGTCAAAGTAATCCACTCCCAGCTGCCACAGGCTGCAACCGTCCAAGGACAGACAGAGGAGAGTCTGGTGAGCCCACGTGCTGCCCTGCAGCTTGGGGCCTGGTACCAAGATGGCTCCTCCCCTAGACCCCTGTAGCCTTCAGGGAACCAGACAAGCAAGAACATAATCCAAGATCCAGGGGTACTTGCATGCTGAAAAACACCGTGCTGCCGCCTCACACCCTTGGGGCCTTCCTACCTGTGATGAGCAAACAGTCCCGAGGCATATTCCAACAGGAGGAACTCTCTCATGTTAGATCCGAAGCTGGAATAAAACATAACAGGAGACCAAAACCCCTGGCCTGCTCCATTCGGGGCCCTCCCGCAGCCCCACCCCTGACAGCTGGCCTGGCTGCCACACACTTACTAGAGGTTGTGCGACTGGAGGAGCTTGCAGTGATCCAGCAGGTCTGTCAGATGGGCCACAAACCACCAGTTGCTTAGAGCAATGCTGTGGGTTCAAATGCCAGGGCAAGGAGGAGAGTCAGGGTGACACTGTGGTCCATGTGAACAGGGACCCTGCATATCCTTTGCATAAAAGGATGGGAAGGACAGTGACAAGTGAAAATCTGTCTGGAAGCACATAGTGAGAAGTTTCTCTGTGCTATGTGGGGACTGACAGTGGATACACAGGATGGTCAACCCTCAAAGTGGCAGCCAACGATCTAGATCTCTGGAGAATGTCACAGTGAAAATAAAATTCAGGGATCCAATCAGATGCAGAAAATGTGGATACAGAATAATGTATAAGAAAAAGAATAAAAAGAAACAGACTTATAAACACAAAGAACAAACTGGTGGTTGCCAAAGGGGAGGGAGGTGGGGGGATGGGATGAGAGAACTAAGTGAAGAGGTACAAACTTCCAGTTATAAAATGAGTAGATCATGGGGATGAAAAGTATAGCATAGGGAATATAGTCAATAATATAATTTTATGTGGAACACACGGTAACTGCACTGCTGGTGGTGAGCATTTTGTAATGTACATAATTATCAAATGTTGGAAACCTGAAACTAACACATCAACTATACAGCAATTAAAAAAAGAAAAAGACTAAAAGATAGGTGGTTTCTGATGCCTGATGAAACATGGAATTCAGGGGCGCCTGGGTGGCTCAGTTAAGCGTCTGCCTTTGGCTCAGGTCACAATCCCGGGATCCTGGGATCAAGACCCACGTCGGGCTCCCTCTCTATCTCTCTCTCTCTCAAATAAATAAAATAAAATAAAATAAAATGGAATTCAGAGAAATATCTTTATTTGCATCCGGCTTCACTATTAATGTTTCTCTGTTGTACAGCTTTTGATTAGTATACTTACTTTACGAATATGACTATATACATAGAACACTTAAAAACCATCTTTTGTTTAGGTTTCTATGAGTACTTTGTATAAAGAAATCTTTGTTAAATTACAAGATTTAGGGGTGCCTGGGTGGCTCAGTCGTTAAGCGTCTGCCTTAGGCTCAGGTCATGATCCCAGTATCCTGGGATCAAGCCCCACATCGGGCTTCCTGCTCCGCAGGAAGCCTGCTTTCTCCCTCTCCCACTCCCCCTGCTTGTGTTCCCTCTCTCGCTGTGCCTCTCTCTGTCAAATAAATAAATCTTTAAAAAAAAAAAATTACAAGATTTATAATATTATTGTATATATAATCTGACCACAATGAAGATTAAGTCCTCCCCCAAACCATATTTTTAACCAAAACCTAGAATCTGAAAAAAAACAAAACAAAACAAAAAACACCTAGAATCTGGAGCACCTGGGTGGCACAGTCCATTAAGCATCTACCTTTGGCTCAGGTCATGATCTCAGGGCCCTGGGATCAAGTCCCATGTAGGGCTCCCTGCTCTGCAGGGAGTCAGCTTCTCCTTCTCCCTCTGCCTGCCCTTCCCCCTGCTTGTGCTCTTCTTTCTATGTCAAATAGATGAATAAAATCTTAAAAACAAAACAAAACATGCGGCGCCTGGGTGGCTCAGTTGGTTAAGTAACTGCCTTTGGCTCAAGTCATGATTCTGGGATTGGGCCACGCATCGGGCTCCCTCTCCCTCTGCTGCTCCCCCTGCCTGTATTCTCTGTCAAATAAATAAAATCTTAAAAAACAAAAAAAATCTTCTGGGGCCCTTGTTAAAAAAAAAATGAAGTAGAGTTTCTAGGGCCCTTAGTGTCTAATTCCTTGGAAATCACTATTTTACATCATCAGTTGTATGTAAGCTCCCTAGCATCGTTTTGTACAAAGTATGCCAATGCACTTCTTGTCAGTGTGCATACATCATTTCCGATTATCCATTTGTTACTTGGCATAGACCTGTTTGAATATAATGCTTGATTATTTTTTTTAAAGATTTATTTTAGAGAGAGAAAGAGAGCATGAGAATACAGAGTGAGGGGGGCAGGGTAAGAGGGAGAAAATCTCAAGCAGACTCCCTGCTGAGCACAGAACCCGATGTGGGGCTTGATCTCACAACCCCGAAATCACAGCCTGAGCTGAAACCAAGAGTCAGACACCTAACCGACTGTGCCACCCAGGTGCCCCAATATTTGACTATTTTTTTAAATCTCGGGTAAGGGAAATTTTAATGATTGCTTTCTGTAACAAAATTAAGCACAAGTAAAGTAGAAGCAGACTGTCAAGGCAGGTAGTTTTGAGGTGTAGTTGTGCATTAAGGTAAGAAATTCTGCTTTCATGATATAAAAAGAATAGGGATTGGTTTACACTGAATTACAGGACAAATGTTTAAAACTTCTGCCTTAATAAATAAATAAATAAATAAATAAATAAATAAACAAACAAACAAACAAACAAAACTTCTGCCTTGGAGCACCTGGGTGGCTCAGTCTTTTGGCGTCTGCCTTTGGCTCGGGTCATGATCCAGGGTCCTGTGATGGAGCCCAGCATCGGGCTCCCTGCTCAGTGGGAAGCCTGCTTCTCCCTCTCCCACTCCCTCTGCTTGTGTTCCCTCTCACTGTGTCTCTGTCAAATAAATAAATAAAATCTTAAAAAAAAAATTTAATAAAATTTCTGCCTTGTTCTTAGGGCTATGGATCCTCAGATACTCCATCTGTTCCAGGATTCCACCACTAGGGAATGTCCTTGTTGGCCTTCTAACATTCACTTACAAGATTAGCTTTTTCAAACTTTTTTTTTTTTTTTAAGATTTTATTTATTTTTTTGAGACAGAATGCGAGAGAGAGAGAGCACATGAGAGGGGGGAGGGTCAGAGGGAGAAGCAGGCTCCCTGCTGAGCAGGGAGCCCGATGGGGGACTCGATCCAGGGACTCCAGGATCATGACCTGAGCCGAAGGCAGTCAGTCGCTCAACCAACTGAGCCACCCAGGCGCCCTAAACAAGTGTCTTTTTCAGGATCTACCTAGTGCCACTTTTTTTGTATTGTGGTGCTTTTTGCTGAGCCCCAAGCATAGTGCTGAAATGCCATACTAAGTGCTAAGTGCTAAGAAGGGATGATGGCCCACAGGGAGAAAATGTGTGTTAGATAAGCTTCATTCAGGCATGCACTACAGTGTTGTTGGCCATGAGATCAATGTTAATGAGTCAATAGTATATACTAAATAAGGTGTCTCTAAGCAAAACCATACATAAAACAAAGTTATATACTGATCACCTGACAAAAATGGGATCAGAGGCTGCAAGAATCCTGTATTACAGTAATCAGTAATAACAATGTTCCAGACAACTTTATAGACCTTAACGGTCGTGAATAATGACAACCAACAGTATATACACACTAACAAATACGTAAAACATACAAAGTAACATTTCCCATACTAAGTCATGCTCAAAAAAGCCAAAGATATATATGCTGACAAATCCCCAACTTCTCCCTAGCCTGCACTTCCTTCTCTGGATTCCAGACTTGTATACCTTACTGCCGACACAGCGTCTCCACTTGGACCTCATGGGCATCTTAAACGTAGCATGTCTAAAAGTAAACACCCGGCTGCTTCCAACTCACCAACCTGATCTTCCCACATTCTCCTATTTCTTACAAACACACATCTAATCTATTAGCCAATCCCATCAACAGTATCCGTAAACCGCATCCAGAATCTAATCACTTTTCACCACCTCCTCTGTTCGGCACCCATCCTTGTCCAAGTCACCACCATCTTTGCCTGGTTTAGTACCATAGCCTCCAGACTGGTCTCTGCTTCCACCCTTGCTCCATCCTTTGTAGGGCAGCCAGAGAGCCTTGAACACCTACATCCAATCACAGTGGGAATACTCAGCTCTCCAATGCCCCCTCACCCCATCTGACTCAGGGGTTGCGTCCATCAACTAGCTTACACACATATATGTCCTTTAATCATAACAATTTTTTTTCAAGATTTCATTTATTTGAGAGAGAGCACGAGTGGGGCGAGGGGCAGAAGGAGAGGGAGAGGGAGGAGCACGAGTGGGGAGACCTGATGTGAGACTTAATTCCAGGACCCCGAGATCATGACCTGAGCTGAAATCAGGCTTAACTGACTGAGCCACCCAAGCGCCCTAATCATAATTTTAAACATAATCTTATTATTATCTGCACTATACAGAAAAAGAAACTAAAGGCTGTTAAGTAACACATTTAAGACCCCACAGCTAGAAAGAGGCAGAACTGGGATGCTAACTCTGGCAGTCTGGCACTGCAGACCATGTCTCACCACTCTGCTCTACCGCCTCTCTCAAAGTTAAAGTCCTTAGGACAGTCCAGGGACCCCTCCAATCTGATCCTGTGACTCTGCCCTTACCTCCCCAACTCCTGCCCTTGCTCACGCTGCTCCTGATCCCACTGGGCCTCCAGGTGAGAGCGTTTGCAGGTCTCACTGTCTACAACACTTTCCCCTCCTTTGGCCCAATGCCCCTCCCCCCACATCACCTCATGAGGGAGGCCTTCCTTGATTCCCCAGCTCTAGAATTGCCAATTCCCCAGGTTGGCTTTACTGCTCTCCATACCACAGTGCCTCTCTGTTAGGCATGCTACATATTTTACTTGTTGCTGTGTTTATTTCCTGTCTCTCCACCCAGGATGTAAACTTCCTAAGGGCAGTAATCTTTGCCCACTTTGGTCATGGTTGTTTCCTCACTGCCTTGCAAACAGGAGCACTCAATAAATACTCAGTGAATGAATCAGAGACTCAAAATCTGGGCCCAATACTGAACAAAGACTCTCCCCTCACTTGCACAGATCTCAGCAACAAAATGCCCAGAAATAGCATCAAAGGCTATAATTCTTTACTGGAATTCCAGATTTTATAGTCTAATCAACTTTCCATTATTCAGGTCAACTAGCACTCTTCTCCCCAGTCCCTACCAATTGGGTCACAGGTCAGTAAGTACAGAATACATAATATCTACCCACCCACACACAGTCACAACCCCAATACACATGCTGACTTCCAAACTGATAATCCAAAATGACTCCAGGATCATCAATCTTTTTGTTTTTAATAGCTATACGGAGCTATAATTTATACACTATAAACATTCATCTATTTAAGTAGTGAGTTTACAGAGTTGTGCACCATCACTACAATCCAGTTTTAGAACATTTCTATCACCTCAAAACCCCTCCTGCTCATTTAATCTCCTACCCCCTCCAGCTTCTATCAAACAGTTTTATCACGTCTTCTCTTCCTTAGATTCACAAAGAAATTAAATGTCCCTGCTCACTGGAAAGTCTACAAAGCATTACTTTTCTTACAAAACAACTTAGTTCTAAACTCTCCTGTGGAGCAGGGAAGAAAAGATCTAAGAGCATCTCCATAATCAGACCCAAGGAGCCAGTCCGAGCGTGAGCAGGCTCAGCAGGCAATCCCCAGGCCCGCCTGCAAGCACTGGGAAAAACAGACCATGAGGTAGAAGGCAGGAAGGCCCGGCCTGCAGGAGATGCTTACCAACTTCCAGAAGCTCTCATGTTTGCTTGGATTCTCACTGCCCAGGACATCTGCCAACAAACTGTCCACTTCACACACATGCAGTCGGACCCAGTCAAGGAGGTGAAGAAGGAGAGGGCCGGCTGGGAGGAAAGACTCTTGTTACACACAAAAACCTCAGTTTTGTCTGCAGCAAATTCCACTTGCCCAATGTACAGACAGAAAATGTAGGGCAAACAAGATGCCTATATAGGAAGTAGTTTATCCCACTTCAGTGGGCACCATATGGTCCTAGATAAACGGCTGGACTAGCAAATGGACCTTTACGAATAGCTCCTCTGAGCTAGGCAGCTCTACCTTTCATGAATTTTCCAAAGGGCTGAATCTCCCCTCCCCCTCCACCCCCAATTCTTCATGACTATGCGGTACTCTATGGCTATGTAAGGAATGGCCACTTAGGGATTGCTACTGACTAGTGCTAGGTATGATAAAAACATAGCAACAGCCCTTAAAATATACTGGAGGAGGTAAACATAGAAACAACTAATTTTAATTTCACATTGCTTAGGGCTTTAGCGGGAGTATGAGTAAAACCTATGACTGCACAGAGATTATTAACACTCATTTATGGATAACAGCAAACATAAACCATCAAGAGAATGAAAAAAAGCCTGCAGCACCACCACAGAGAGCCCACTCATGCCAGGATACCAGACCGACCACAATTTAGTTCAAGAACATGGAATAATTCAGAGTGGACAGTTCACATGTAGGGCTGCCCCCTCCCCAATCACTGTAGACAGAATTCTCCCAGTGACTTTGCCTCCCACCATCTAATCCCTCCTCACATCCCTAAAACATTTTTCCTTTCTTTTAATTTTTATTTTTAATTCTAAACAACCAATATTTATTATTGCACATTTCTGGAGGCCTGAAGTCTGAGATCAAGGAGTGGACAGAGTTGGTTCTTTCTGAGGCTGGGAGGAAGAACCCATTACCATGCCTCTCCCCTGACTTTCCAAAAACTCTTAAGCTTGACCAGTCCACCATATGAATCTTGACCACCCCTGTCACACACTAGTCCAGTATGCTTTCCTGGTGTTTTTCAGGGGTCACCTGACCAACATCTTAGGTTTTCAGAAGGCATTCTTTCTCACTTTTTTTTGTAGTATCTGACAAAATGGCAGACTTCCTTGGTGTTATGTACAGCTTTCTACTGATTACACTGATGAAAAGTGAGGAAAAGAGCATCCTTGGCAATAAAGCGCTCGCTCATCACAACACGCAGGAAAGACAGAGGAAAGGGCAGGGGGACACCTTTGATGTTGTGAAGGGGTGATTCCATGCTCACCTGGGGCTACTTCAATAAAAAGAATCTCACAAAGGTTCCAAATGAGCTCCATTGCTGACAAAATGGAGACCTAAGGAAGAAATGGAGACAAAGTTTTAACTGAAAACATTCCTGACATTTCTCTTAGAGCAAAGGAATGAAGAAGCAGGGCTTGAATCATATGACATTCATTCATTATTAACTGAACAACTACTGAATATTCCTATGGCAGGGTTTCCCACAGGGAAGCCAGTGAGTAAATTTTAGGGGGTGGTAGGCAGACTAACATTTTTTTTTTTATTTTAATGGTTCTTGTTTTAGTTTAAATGTACATTATAGGGGGCGCCTGGGTGGCTCAGTCGGTTAAGCGACTGCCTTCAGCTCAGGTCATGATCCCAGGGTCCTGGGATCGAGTCCCGCATCGGGCTCCCTGCTCTGCGGGGAGCCTGCTTCTCCCTCTCCCACTCCCCCTGCTTGTGTTCCCTCTCTCACTGTGTCTCTCTCTGTCAAATAAATAAATAAAATCTTAAAAAAAAAAAAATGTACATTATAGAAGAATATAATTAGCTCATCACGCCCAAGGTCTTCATGAATATTTTGATTTAGAAAGAGGCTCTAAGTAAATGGGAGATGATTCTTAGAAAAATATTCAGTAAATAATATTAAAAATTCTACAGATACAGAAAAACTGTGAAGTTGATATTCAAGGGACTAAAGTTTAAGAAAGTCTATTAAAAGTCAAACCCAATATAAGACCCAAAAATAAATCAGGTCTGGACCCTGCCCTTAGGAACATGCAGTCTCCTCTTCCCCATCATCCTTTCATACACAAACACAGACTACCTTATTCATAAGGGAAAACAAATGCTTTGCTGACTGTGCACTAGACCGCAACAGACACAGTGCACTAGTCCCTATTCACTACGGAGTCTGAACACTGTCAACATTCTACTGAATAGAGAGAATTCTTTCACTCATCTTCCAGCTCCAACTAAAGTAAACAACTCAGTAAAAATACTGGGTTCATGAGCTGAGTACAGTTTATAAAAATAATTAGTGATTCCAAAAGCTCAGCTCACTATCTCAGGTGACACAATGTGGTCAGGATTGACATTTCCCATAAGAACTGGAAACTCAGGGCACCCGCGTGGCTCTGTCGGTTAAGCATCTGCCTTCGGCTCAGGTCACGATCCCAGGGTCCTGGGATCGAGCCCCGTATCAGACTTCCTACTCAGCAGGGAGTCCATTTCTCCTTCTGCCCTTCCCCCTGCTTGTGCTCTCTCGATCTCTCTCTCAAATAAATAAATAGAAAAAAAAAAAAAAGAAACTAGAAACTCATACAAGTACTTATCAAGCACACCCTTGTCTTCCATGTGCTATGGCCTTGAAGGGGGCACCAGGAAGTTCAAGATGATCCTTACCACCCCCAAAGAGTTGTCTATCTAGCTGGAAAGAAAAGACTTCTGCAAAAACAATGATTGTGGGGCACCTGGGTGGCTCAGGTAGGTTGTGTCCGACTCTTGATTTCAGATCAGGTCACGATATTAGAGTCGTGGGATCAAGCCCTGCATCTAGCTCATCGGGCTCACTATTCAGCTGGGAGCCTGCTGGAGATTCTCTCTCTCCCCCTCTTCCCGTTCCCCTCCCCCTGCTCAGACTCTCTCTCTCCCCCAAATCTTTAAAAAACAAAACAAACAACAACAAAAATAATGATTGCAAAGTCACCCTAGGTGGGTGCTAAGGACACAGAAGGACATAATGGTGCCAGCTGGACAACAAAGGTGGCCCCCCCTTACCTGGCTGCTGAACTGGCGACCACTGGCTGGATCTTTAGCAGCAACTAACAACACACAAACATTTTAAGTGAGGAATGAAACTTTTAGTCTCATAGTTATACCTTCATATACCAGGTTCTTTGGCTTATGCCTTTGTTTCCGCTAATGATCACCCATTTTCACTACAGATTTTTATTTTTTAAGAGCGCATATGGTGGGGGGGGGGGTTGGGAGCAGAGGAAGAGAGAATCTTAAGCAGGCTCACACTCAGCCCGATGTAAGGCTTAATCTCACAACCCTGAGATCATGACCTGAGCCGAAACCAAGAGTCGGATGCTTAACTGACTGAGCCACCCAGGCACCCCTTCACTATAGATTTTTTAAAAATGCTTAATATCTCTGTTGCAGATAAATGATTTGCAAACCCGACACCCTCAAGTTACAAGTGACACTCTCAACTGCAAATTGCAACCAGAGACCATCAGGTTATAAAAGACTCTACTCAGCATCCAGGAGTCACGGGGCTCTCATGGTTATGGTGACTTTAAATCACCAAGGTTAGGGGTGCTTGGGTGGCACAGTTGGTTAAGTGAACAACTCTTGGTTTCAGCTCAGGTCATGATCTCAGGATCTTTAGTTCAGGCTCCAAGTCAGGCTCTGAGATCAGCACAGAGTCTAAGACTCTCTCTCCCTCTGCCCCTCCCTCAATACTCACACATGCTCTCTCTAAATAAATGAAAGAAAGAAAGAAAGAAAAGAAAAATCACCAAGGTTAAAGAACCAAGAATGTGATTTTTAAAGATTGTTAATTTGGCCCTCAGTCTCACACCTGTCGACTCAATACGCTCTAACTTGAAAAATGTACTCAAGGGGTGCCTGGGTGGCTCAGTCGTTAAGCGTCTGCCTTCGGCTCAGATCATGGTCCCAGGGTCCTGGGATCGAGCCCCGCATCAGGCTCCCTGCTCCGCGGAAGCCTGCTCCTCCCTCTCTCCCCCCCCCTGCTTGTGGAAAGCCTGCTTCTCCCTCTCCCACTCCCCCT